TTTCAAAAAGTCCTCATTTTTAAATCTTTGCTGAAAATTATTTATCAATATAAACAAGCACTTTTTCTAATTTCGTGCTTTTTTTGCCTTGTATTTTATTTAATCAGATTTGGAGGGAACTCTCATTTGCTCTGTGTGTGTGTGTGTGTGTGTGTGTGTGTGTGTGTTTTTATCCTCACCAGAGGACATTCTTGCATCTATCTCCAGACAGAGCGGGAGGGAGAGAGGGAAGAAGAGAGAGAGAGAGAAACATTGATGTGAGAGAGACACATCGACTGGCTGCCACCCACACAACCCCAACAGGGGCCGCGGACAAACTGCAACCATATGTACCCTTAGCGGGAACCAAACCCAGGACTCTCGGGTCCACGGGCCAACACGCTAACCGCTGAGCAAACCAGCCAGGGCGTTTGTTTGTTTGTTTGTTTTGTTTGTTTTTTTAAGAGAGAAAGGAAGGGAAAGAGAGAAAGAAAGAGAAACATCGATGAGAGAGAAACATCAATTGGCTTTGTCCTACATATCCCTCACTGGGGATCGAGTCTGCAACCTGGACATGTGCCCTGACTGGGAATCAAAACAGCAACCTCTTGGTCCATGGGTTGATGCCACACCAGCTGGGCTGCCTAATATATTTTTGCCTATCCCTTTTTCATTTACCTGTCATTTTGTTTTAGGTATGCCATATGTAAATGGAAAATAGATTTTATAGAGAAATTGCTCTCATGGTTCAACAAGTATTTATTGAATGTCTATTCAGAAATGTGATAACAGATTTGGTTGGTATTCTCTGAGTAATTAAAAAAATATATAAATCTTAAACCATCTTAAAACTTCTCCTCTGGTTCCTCAACGTCTAAACAATAAGGTCCATTCTATTTGTATGCTATGAAGGGCTCTTTGTGACCTGTTCTGTTTCCCTTTTAGTCTCCTCTTATTTTATTTCTCAATCTGCCATCCATTATCCACTTTAGCCCCATGTACATGCAGTTCTCCAGACTTACCATACCTGTCACGAAATTCTATTCTCTATACTTGGACTTCGTCTTCCTGCTTCTCTTCATCCTTCAGCATTCGGTTCAAAGACCCAGGGCCTTCACTAACAACAACCCTACATCATGCTGTGTCCTTCTTCAAACTTCTGTTTTCAATTGACTATAAAATACTCCACTTGAATATCCCACGGACTTCTCATATTCTATACACTGGGAACTGAAAACATCATCTCCCCTAAAGCAGCTCATCCCCCCCTTGGTCCCTATTTCAGTAAATGGTACTACCAACTATTGTCTCACTAATTTGAAATCCTAAGCACCATATTTGGCTCCTACTTCTTTAAAAAATTTTTTTCTTTATTGATTTTGAGAGAGAGATAGAAACATTGATGAGAGAGAACATCGACTGACTGTCTCCTGCATGCCCCGCCCTGGGGATCAGGCCCATATCCTGGGCATGTGCCCTGACCAGGAATCGAACCGGTGATCTCTTGGTGCATGGATTGATGGTCAACCACTGAGCCACACTGGCCGGGTTTGGCTCTTACTTCTTAATTTCCAACATGTCCTGCAATTCTATCCATGAATTTCTCTCAAATCCATCTAGTATTCTCTATCCCTGCTGCTTCTACTTAGTTAGGCCACTCATGTATCTAATCTGGATTATTAAAACCATTTTCTACTTATTTCCCTATACCTCCAGTCTTAATTCCTCCTGCAATCTATCCTCCACAAGGCTCCTAGAATACATCTGTCTTAACACAATTCTGAACATGTTATTCCCCTACTTTAAAACTTTAGTGGATAAGGACAAGGATGGGTAACTCTGAAGACACAAGAATTCTCCACACCATGTCCTTAAGATAAATTCCAGATTCCTCAATGGGCCTTATAAAGTACTACAAGCACAATCCTCCTCAGCCCCATCTCCTGTCATTTGTCCACCACATCCTAGGCATGTTGAACTTTGCAGTTCCCCTACTACTCAGTGCTCTGCACATGCCGCTCTCTCTGCCTGTAACACTCTTCTTTCTACCTGGCTAACTCCTACTCATTCTTAGAACTCAATAAAGACACTACTTGTTTCAAATGATTCTCTAAATCCCAAAGCCAGGGTCAGATTTCCCTTCTGTGTGATTCCACAGGTTCTGACACACTGAAGCAAATAAGGTTAACTGCTTGTTTATTTGTCTACTTACCCCACTAGTGTGTAAACTCCAAATATGGCAATGACTATGCTTTTCTTCTTTTTGTGTGTGTGTTTCTTTTCCTATTCTATTCTATAGGCAAAACATATATGAAAAACTGGACCGGACTCAAGGGGAGGAGTGAAAATTGGTGGAAGAACTACCAATAATTTAAGATATGCAGGTGACACCATTATACTGGCAAAAAGGAGCAATGATTTGAAACAACTTCTAATGAAAGTAAAAGAAGAAAGTGCCAAAGTAGGATGAACATCAAGACAAAAAGCACAATTGCAGAAGAAATACACAACTTTAACGTTAACACAAGACACTAAAATTGTTAAAGATTTGTTTGCTTTTTGTTCAGTCATCAATTCAAATGGAGACTGCAGCCAAGAAATCAAGAGAAAGCTGAGCCCTGGAGGGTTTGGCTTAGCAGTTAGAGCATCGGCCCGCGAACCAGAGAGTCCCGGATTCGGTTCCCACTAAGGGCACACACCTCAGTTGCAGTTTGTCACCGGCCCCAGTTGGGGTCATGTGGGTGGCAACCACTTGATGTGTTTCTCTTACATCAATGTTTCTCTCTCCCTCCCCCTCCTCTCCCTCCCACTCTATCTGAAGATAAATGCAAAAATGTCCTCCAGTGAAGATAAAAAAAATAAATAAATAAGAGAAAGCTGAGACTCAAAAGGGCAAAAATGGAAGAATTAGGAACGATCACCAAAAGTAAAGATGTATCATTAGAGACTAAAGCTAAGATCACCCACACCCTTGTATTCCCAATTACTATGTACAGATGTGAATGTTGGACAGTGAAGAAGGCTGACAGGAAAAAAATGGATTCATTTGAAATATGGTGTTAGAGGAAAGCTATAAGGACCCTGGACCACCAAAAAGATGAACAAGTGGGTCCTAGAGCTAATTAGGCCTGAAACATCACTGGAGGTAAAAACAAAACTGAAGCTGCTCTACTTTGGGCAAATTGTGAGAAGGTAGGGTTCTTTGGAAAAGACAACAATGCTGGGAAAACTAGAAAGCAGCAGGAAAAGAGGAAGATCAAATATGAGATGGACTGACTCCCTAACAGATGTCATAGGCATGAGTTTACATGAGCTGAGCAGGGCTACTGAGGATAGGACATTGTAGACATCACTCATTCATAGGGTCACCAGGAGTTGGAGCTGACGCAATGGCATGTAACAACTATCTACGTGTCTTTTTTGTTTATTATGGTTTTCCTAGAACTTAGCACAGAATAGTTAATAAATATTAAGTAGTACAAGCATTCATAATTGGGGCTATGTGCAACTTTTTATTGAATGAAGTAGACAAAAAAGCTTGGAAACCACAGTTCTGGGGCATTTGATATTAACTTTTGTGTATTGGAGAAGGGGTGGTGTGATGTCACAGATCACTTTGAAAATTCAATAAAAACTAAGGATTATTTCCCAGAAAAATAAATGTAAATATATGTTTGAAATACTTCTATGTGATTTCTATGGTATCTTGGTTCTTATGTTAAGTCCTGCCATAGGACATCTATTTCTAAAGCCAGAAGACTGTTAGAACAAAGACAGAGGTCAGCCGGATGTTCCTATTATTCCTTACCTTCCCTCTTCTCCACAAATCCTATTCCTCCTTCTCCCCATAGTTAAATCACCACACCTTTCCCCAGGCAGGCTTAAATTTCCATCCTCTGTGTAACTCCCATAGAGTTTAGGAATGCAGTCAAACATTTCCTTCTCAAGGAATGTTATCTATAACCAATGTTATTATAATCTCCCATACCACTGTCATAATCTTGGCCGTTTCCTGAAGCACTCATACTATTATTTTCTTACTTTTATTTATTTATTTTATCCTCACCCGAGGACATTTTTCCATTTTTTGTTCAGATAGAGTGGGAAGGAGAGAGAAGAAGAGAGAGAGAAACATCGACGTGAAAGGGACACATCGAGTGGCTGCCACGCGCACGACAAACTGCAGCCGAGGTACATGCCCTTAGCGGGAACCGAACCCGGGTCTCTGTGAACCGCAGGCCAATGCTCTAACTGCTGAGCCAAGCTGGCCAGGGCTATTTTCTTAATTTAAAAAAAACAAAACAAAAACACAACCTTTTAACTTAAATGTAGTGGTACCCTAAGTAATAATGTCTGTGAAATCAGTTTGATGTCATGGTTATTTTATTTTATTTTTTTTAAATCCTCCAAGGATATTTTTCCATTTATCTTCAGATAGAGTGAGAGGGAGGGGGAAAGAGAGAGAAAGATCAACGTGAGAGAGACACATCAATTGGTTACCTCCCACACAACCCCGACCAAGGCCAAGTACCAAATCACAACTGAGGTACATGCCCTTGACCAGAATCGAACCCGCAATTCTGGTCTGCATGCCAACGCTCTAACCGCTGAGCCAAACTGGCCAGAGCAATGTCATGGTTATTATCTTCCTGCCTCAAAATAACACACACTTAAAAAAAAAATTTTAGACCCTCACCAGCCACCAAGTTTTAAAGCACAACCCTAACATCTCTGCAGTTACTCAGGGATCTGTGCCAAGTAAGCAATAATTTGGACATTGGACAAGGGTTTTTTTAGAGCCAGAAGAAACTTAAAAACATTTGCTCCAATCCTCTCATTTTATAGATTAAAAAGTTGAAAGCCAAAGAAGGTAAGTGATTTGTCCAAGGTCAGATGAGATGCTTAATGAAATGTCTAGGATTAGTATTCAGTTCTATCAGTCTAGTACACTTTCCACTATACTGTATCCATTCAGATTACACTAGAATAACATGGTATCAAGAATTCTTTATGTTACCTACCTCACTCTTCCATTCAGATTTATATAAACATGTTGTTTAAAATCTGGATATTTGGTTGCCAGATATGCAAAGTCAGGAGGTTTGTCCTTGTATCTATTTCTTGCATGCATTGATTTACTCAGAGCCATCTTTAAAAAGAAAAAAAAGGGGGGGGGAATGAGTATATTTAGTTTTAAAAAATGTTAATGGGGAAAAACTGTGGTTGCTAAGTCAACACATCCTTACCAATCAAGTGAGAAAGTAGAAGTTATATTTTTTAAATGTACACAACAAATAAGAATATGAAAAGATGCTCAACATCATCTGTCATTAGAGAAATGCAAATAAAAACTACAATAACATACCACTTGGTTATTTTTAAAATTTTAGAAGAATAAATATTGGAAAGGATGTGAAGAAATTAGAGCCCTCAAGTATTGTAGGTGGGAACATAAAATGGTAAAATTACTATGGAAAAGAGTTTGATGGTTCTTTAAAAAGTTAAAACAAAGAATCACCATATGATTCAGCATTTCCACTCCAAAATATACGTAAAAGAACTGAAAGCAGGGATTCAAACACATATTTGCCTACCAATGTTCACAGCATCATTATTCACAACAGCCAAAAGGTGGAAACAACCCCAAGTGTTCATTCACAGATGAATAAACAGAATGTGGTATATATACACACAATGGAATATTATTCAGCCATAAAAAGAAATAAAATTCTGATACATGCTATAAAACAGACAAACCTTAAAACCATTATGCTAAGGGAAATAAGCCACACCCCAAAGGAATATTGTATTAAATTAAATATCATATTATCCCATTTATATGAGGCACCAAGACTAGACAAATTCATACAGAGAGAGTAGAATAGAGGTTACTAGGGGTTGAGGAGAGGGAAGAATGATGAGTTATTCTTTAAAGGGTACATGTTTTCTGTTTAGGATGAAAATCTTCTAGAAATGTATAGTCGACATTGTGAATATACTTAATGTCAGTGAATGGTATACTTAAAAATGGTTAAAATGGCCCTGGCCAGTTTGGCTCAGTGGTTAGAGCGTCGGCTCACAGACCAGAGAGTCCCAGGTTTGGTTCCCGCTAAGGGCATGTACCTCGGTTCCAGTTTGTCCCCAGCCCCGGGTGGGGTGGTGTGGGTGGCAACCACTTGATGTGTCTCTCTCACATCGATGTTTCTCTCTCTCACTTCCTCCCTCTCTCCTTCCCATTCTGTCTGAAAATGAATGCAAAAAAAATGTCCTCAGGTGAGGATAAAAAAAAAAAATGGTTAAAATGGGCCCTGGCCAGTTTGGTTCAGTGGTTAGAGCGTCAGCCTGCGGACCAAAGAGTCATGGGTGGGTTCAATTCTGATCAAGGGCATGTATCTCGGTTGTGGTTCAGTCCCAGCCCTGGTCAGGGTCATGCGGGAGGCAGCCAGTTGATGCGTCTCTCTCACATTGATGTTTCTCCCTCTCCCCCTCCTTCCCACTCTATCTGAAGATAAATGGAAAAAAATATCCTCAGGTCAGGATTAAAAAAAGGGGGGGGGGGTGTGTGCCCTGGCCGATTTGGCTCAGCAGTTAAGAGTGTCAGCCTGCGGACCAGGGAGTCCTGGGTTCTATTCTGGCCAAGGGCACATACCTCATTTGTAGTTCGACCCAGGGAGTTCACGTGGGTGGCAGCCAATTGATGTGTCTCTCTCATATTGATGTCTGTCTGTCTGTCTCTCCCTCTCTCCCACTCTGTCTGAACGTAAATATAAAAATATCCTTGGGTGAGGGTTCAAAAAAAAGGGACACATCTGTAACAAAAATTAATAATTTTTTTTTAAAGTCCAAAAAATAAATAAATTAAATAAAACCATTTAATGATTCAACACTGAAAAAAAATTTGGTTAAAATGGTAAATTTTATGTTATGTATATTTTGCCACAATAAAGAATGTGTACAGCATATGATGAACCGTTTTTTTTTTAATCAAGAAAACAAAATTGTAAAGTATCCCTTTAAAAGCATCAAAGTAGCAGAAGGTACTATAATCTACAGCCAAGAATATTATAACCAGAGGTTAATTTTTACAGTGGCCTTGCATGGACCGAATATTTTGTAGTGTACCAAAAATCACTTAAATTTTTAAAAACTTCTTATATTCCAATTTCCTTTATAAATGTCAGTCTTGTCACTCCTAGGTAGCTAAAACCAAATGAAAACAAACATAATTTGTCTTCTACTAGATTACAAAGAGGAAAAAAAGTTAATGCACTTATAGCAATAAACAAAAACTAGAAGAAAAGCCACTGGTAGTGGTTTAGTAAATCTCTAAGTAGTTGGTAATTCAAAAATATTTTAGAATACTACATAGCTCTTGATGGTAGGTGATTTTTATTTTTTTCATACCATTCTGCATTTTCCACGTTTTTAAATAATGAGCATTCATCTAAATAGTATTATGCACGCGAGAAACCTAGGAGTCATCTGATAGCTCTCTATCCCTCTCATATTCCAAGAAATCAACAGTCATGTGGATTTAATCTGCTAAATACCTCTCAAATCTATCAATTTTTCCCTATCTCCACCAATATAAGTCAATTACAAGTTACCTAGACTGCTATAACAGTCTCTTAATTGGTCTCCCTGAATCCACTTTTATTCTCTCCACTCCTTTTTCCATTTTGCAGTGATCATTTCCAAACACAAAACTCATTACATCCTACTCATATGCCCTCTTGCTCAAAACTTTACTTTTAAGATAAAGACAAAAAACCTTACTTCAGCATACAAATAAGGTCCAGCCTGGTGTGGGCTTGCCTATTTCTACACCAACAGCTAAGTCAGACCCCCAGAGCTCATTTTTCAGTCCCTCCTCGGTGGCAAAAGGGTCTTTACACATGTTACTCCTTTTGTCTATAACAGCGATTTTCAACCTTTTTCATCTCATGGCACACATAAACTAATTACTAAAATTCTGTGGCACACCAAAAAATACATATGTTTTGCAGATCTAAGACCAAAAAAAGGTATAATTTTGATTCATTCATACCGTACAGCTGTTGTTCTGTTGGCACACCAGTTGAAAATCGCTGGTCTATAATGTGCCCCCCTTTCTGATAAATTCCACTCATCCTTACTATCACACTTCAAGCATCTCTTCTTCAGGAATGTCTTTCCTTCTCTAATCTCCCCAGCTAAGTCATATCTCTTATAAAGTTCTCTAGCAATAAGCACCTTTTCTTTGCAGGCTTCATTTGAGATGTAATTTTATATAGTAATAAATCTGTTAACACTATTTCAGAAGGTTTTTTGACAGCTTTCTACACTGAAAATTTAACAACTATTTTCAAAAAAGAACTTTCTTCACCTAAGACCTTTCCAAATCATATATCCAATTGCCCACTAGACTTCTCACTAGGATGGCTCAAAAGTATTTCACGCACAACATGTCCAAAATTAAATAATTTCTACCCACCCCAAAATGGTCCTCATCTAATCTTCCTTATTTTGCTGAATGGCACCACTACCTTTGTTGTGGCATACAACCCAGAAATCTTTAGCATCCTCTCCACCCCACCTCCCGTTTTATTCCAAACACACCATGTCCTGAATACTCTCTATCTCCTAATTGTTTCTTGACCCTAATTACTCTTCACCCTTCACAACTCCACATCTCTAACCCAGGTCATTATCATCTTTTTCTTGGATTCCAACAATAGGCTCTAACTGATCTCTCTATAACCATCCTAGCCCCTGCAATCCACTTTTCACACAGCAGACAAGTCGTCCCTCCCCTATCCCACACAAATCTGAACCTTCTTTGCTAACTCCCTTCAGTGGCTTTCTAGAGCTATTAGGCTTTAGATAAAGTCTAAAATTCTTAACAAATATATAAATCTAGGCCTTGACTATCCCTCCAGCCTCATTTGTTGCCACTTCCCCCTTCCAGCACTATACTGGTCTTTCCATTTTTCTCCTTTCATTTACTCTGACATTTTAAAGTATGTTATCCTAGATGCATACGAACAATGCACAGGGCTCACTTAAGATAAAGACTGACCTTTGCTAAGAGAGCTATATGCCTGGAATTAACTACTCACTCTAACCTGCCCAGTGGAATTTGTGATAAAACCGTCTTATGTGGTTATTTTTGGTCACTGAGCTTGTCAGGCCTGCCATGTGGCCCCCATGAGCTTGTCAGGTTTATTATATAGATCCTTTTTCTTTAACATATGGCAGATTCATTTCCTACATTACTCAACTTAGTTGGTCAGAACAGATACAGGATGAGTCAATCTTTGCTAACCAAGCTCCTCACACAGGCAATGAGTTCTTAGCTAAATCTATCATGTCCCTCAGTTTAATTCAATGTCACCTCTTACCTGGCATCAGCATTGTCACTTTCTTCTCTCTAACCTAATTTACTTTCCTCTTCCTGACTCATCATGCTCTAGCTACATTGGCCTCCTTGTTATCAATTCTAGTACACTTCTGCCTCAGGACTTTTGTATTTGCTGCTTGGTCTGCATGGACTGTTCTCCCAGAAATACATACATAAAAGATACTCTGGCCTTGTTCAGGTCTTTGAATCAAATGTTCCCTTCTCACAGATGCCTTTCCTGAGTACCTTTACTTAAGCTTGCAGTAAGTGAACACCCTCCTGGTTTCCCTTACTAGCTTCTATCTTCCACGTAGAACTTACCTACTTGACGTTCCATATATTTACTTAATTTTAAAAAAATCTGCCCTTCCAATAGGCTTCTTGAGGAAAAATCTTTTGTCTATCTTGTTCACTGCGCTTTCCCAACACCTAAATTAGGGCCTACGAGAGTAGGCACTCAGTGTTTGTTGACTGAAAACACTGACATGTAACTCTTTTTACTGTCCAGGCTACTGAAACACAGCACTCTCATTCTGGGCAAACAGCCCCCTATCTTGACTCTCAAAGAAGCTCAGTCCTAGAGTTGGGGCTTTTTCTTCTAGTTCCGCCACTGCCAGTTCTCCATCTCTTTCACTCCTTCCATATTCTCATCTTACTTATTTAGCTTGTCTTCCCGCCTCAGCTTCGGATCTCCTCAGCCCCAGAGGTCTTCCCTACTACAACCTTAGTTCCCATTCTATTAATTAACTCCTTACCCCTAGCCTTCCCCCAACACCGCCACACACCCCATCTCCTATCGGATCTCTCTCCCTAGACCCCGAAATCAACATCTCACGGGCCCAGAACCCGAAGATGAGGAACCTGGGTGATACATGGGCTAAGTGAACTCGCACAATCGTGAAAGACAGTGACTTACCTCTGAAGGCAAAGTTCCAGCCAGAGCACCAATCTAAAGTGGGCCTCTAACCCGAGTCTCAAGCCATCTGCAACATGAAGTTCCTAGAAACGCAGATGTTACGCTCCAAGCGCGTCGCCATCTTGAGCACCAATCCAGCCTCGTGATTGGACGATCAAAATCTCGCGCAATCTGTTGTAGATTCCGAAGAAAAAATAAACTGTCGCGAGACCTGGAGTTTGGCTCCTTCCGACAGAAAAAGGGGCGTGGTAGCAAGCGGAGTCCTCTGCTTGAAGGCACGTGCATTAGAATCTGCTAGGTAACTTGTTTTTTACAAATATAGATTTTTGTTAAAAAGTTGCTTTCTGGGCCTCACTCCAGTCAGGAAATATGGGGCGAGGAGGGAGGGGTAGGGAAGGCTTTTGGATTTGATGGCGGGCAATTAGTGTTTAGTTTGTAACTGGTCTCTACTGCAATGTCTCATTTAAACGTCGCAGATAAACTGAAGAAAAAGTAGTCTCATTTACAGAGAAAGAACTGGGGATGGGGATTGTTTGTTCAAGATCTTACACCCAGATCACATCAAATTCACCTTCTTTGTATTTTTTCACCTGCCCCTTGAGCTGGAAGAGCTATTAAATGCATTTCATTTTTCTTTCCCACTCGGCTTTACTAATTTTTACCCTCTGGTCAGTAGAGAGAGCATTGGTCTCTCCATTTTACAGTAGAGATAAAAAGATAAATTACTTGTCCTGGCCGGTGTGGCTCAGTTGGTTGGAGTGTTGTCCTGTAAATCGAAAGGTCGCTGGTTTTATTCCTGGTCATGGAACTTGTCTAGGTTGTGGTTCCTTCCCAGGTTGGGGCACGTGCGGAAGGTAGCCAGTCCAGCCAGTCATGTTTCAATTTTACATGAGATCTCCCCCCCCCCCCAAATAAATAAAGGTAAATTGCTTTCAAAGGGTATACGATTAGTAACAAAACTAGAGCTAAAATCTCTGGACCCACATCTAGTACCTCTTTTCATTAAAAAAGCTTGCTTGGGCCCTAGTAATTAATGTAAAAGCTTCTGGCAAACTATTTTTTTTTTTTTTTTATCCTCACCCGAGGACATTTTTTCCATTTTTTGTTCAAGTAGAGCGGGAGGGAGAGAGAGGAACAGAGAGAGAGAGAGAAACATCGACGTGAAAGAGACACATCGAGTGGCTGCCACCCGCACGACCGACCAGGGCCGGGGACAAACTGCAACCGAGGTACGCGCCCTTAGCGGGAACCGAACCCGGGTCTCTCAGGACCGCAGGCCGACGCTCTAACCGCTGAGCCAAACCGGCCAGGGCGCTTCTGGCAAACTATTGCCCTGCAATTGGGAGACAGGGAGTAAGGAGTGGAGATCTCAGCTTTATGCAGAATTGAGTATATCAGTAGTAGCCCAAGGAAAGGTGAAGAGGTATTTTTATTAACTATTATGTAACAAACCACCCCAAATTGTATAGCTTAAAACATCTGCTGAGCTGGTATGGCTCAGTGGATTGAGCGTTATCCCATGTACTGGGAGGTCCCAGTTCCAATCCTGGTCAGGGCACCTGCCTCAGTTGTGGGATTGGGGTGGGGGTGGGGGGCGGTGCTTGCAGGAGGCAGCCAATCAATGATTCTCTCTGGAATGGATGTTTCTGTCTCTCCCTTCCCCTCTCTCTCTAAAAAAGTCAATAAAAACACAGTTTTTTAAAAATCCCAATATGGGCTGGTATTAGCCCTCCCCTGGCCATTCTTCTGCTGTACTTGGTTGGTAGTAACATCAACTGGGGGCTGGTTCAGCTGGAAAGACTGGTCCTCTTTGCTCCAGTAGTCTTAAATTCTCTCCCTCTCCTTGTGACTCTTCCACAAAATCTCTCCTGCAGAGTAGCCAGGCTTCTTACGTGGTGATTCGGGACTCCCAAAAGGGCAAAAGTGGAAGCTGGTAGGCCTTCTTAAGGCTTAGGCCCAGAACTGGGGCTTTCACCATATTCTCTTTGTTAAAGCAAGTCAAAGGGCCAGCCCAAATTCAAGAAGAGGGTGTAATGCCAGGGTACCTTCTAGGACTAAAAGGTATGGTTCACTGGGTCTGCCGTTGTAGCAGAAGACCACAGGAAGTTTTTCTGTCTTTAGTTGGTAGTGACTTTGGTACTGGTTATTTTTATGGTATTTAGTGCTTTCTTTTGGAAGAGTAAAAGAAAAAATGGCCTTGGAGGAAAGACTAGTAGGGTTGAAAATGGATTGTACTTAAAATGCTGGTGAATTTCTCTGTTACCTCCAGAGATCCAAATGCCCTGTGGGTCGAACCAAAGAGACCCTAGCTCTGCAGCCAGGGAATTTGGGCTTTAATCATGCCCCACCACTTACTTACCCTGTGATTATGGACAATTTACTTAAACTATTCAAGCCTTGGTTTGCTCAATATTTCAAAACCGAATAGTAATCTCATAGAGCTATTATGAGAATGAAATCAGATAATTCATATAAAACACTTAGTATGCTGGGCCAGTGTGGCTCAGTGGTTGAGCATTGACCCATGCACCAAGAGGTCGCTGGTTGGATTCTTGGTCAGGGCACATGCTCAAGTTGTGAGCCAAACCCCCAGTGGGGGGCATGCAGGAGGCAGCCAATTGATGTTCTCTCTCATCAATGTTTCTATCTCTCCCTCTCAAAATAAATAAATAAATAAATAAATAACAAAAATAAAAAAACACTCAATATAGTTTCTGGTACACAGTAAGCTATCATTATCATTATTATTACTAATACCACTAATATAATTCCTTATAACATCTCTGGTCACTTTCCTTTTTTTTTTTTTTTTTAATCTTCACCCGAGGACATTTTTGCATTTATCTTCAGATAGAGCGGAAGGGAGAGAGGGATGAAGAGAGAAAGGGAAACAATGATATGAGAGAGACATATCGAGTGGTTGTCACCCACACGACCCCAACCGGGGCCAGGGACAAACTGCAACCGAGGTATGTGCCCTTAGGGGGAACCAAACCTGGGACTCTCTGGTCCACGGGCTGACGTTCTAACCGCTGAGCAAAACCGGCCAGGGCTGAACTGTATACTTTAAAATGGTAATTTTGTGGTATGTATATTATGTTTCTTTCTTTTTTTAAGTCAAAGGAGAGAAACTAGTTGAGAGGGATTAAATATTTAAGAGAAGGAATATTGAACTGTGAATTATGTAAAGTTCCTGAGATGAGGGGAGGATACGAGATCCAAAGCACAGATGGTATTTAATTAAATTAGAATATAATAGTAGTAGTAATAATGATGATAATAATAATAATACTATTTGGTTGTTGAACAGAACCAAAAGCCAGACCCATGGTCTTCCACTGTGTTTTCCACCAACTCATTCCTCTCGACAACTGAGCTTAAGAATTTTTAAAGAAACATTAACACCTCCATGGGTTAAATAAGCAATTAGATAGTAATATACAAAAGCAAAGATGCTGGAACAGCAGAAATAAGCATTATTGATAACCTTAAATTAACCAAAGAACCCAAAATCCTACTTGTAAAATATTATGAAACTACCTGGATTAATCTCTTAAATACATATTATCTATGGCTGCTTTCACAATACAACAGCAGAGTTCAGTAGTTGCGAGAGAGAGACCACATAGCCTGCAAAGCCGAAAATATTTACTGTCTAGCCCTTTACAGAAAAAGTTTGCCAATTCCTTGTCCAGGGACCCTAAACTGGAAGTGTGTCTCTGCTTCACATTGATTCTCACCCTCCAGTGGGATAGACTGGGTTTATTCACATCACAGCAACATAAGAAAACGAGAATGTAAGCTACGATATCTCTTAAGGCCTAGGCCAACATAAATACAAGGAGTAGGGAAATATACTTCACCTAGGTGAACCACAAAGAATCTGTGATCAGTTGCAATCCACCATAGCAAATATAAATTGCCCTTTTGAAAGCTAATATAGCAATATATATTTTAAAATCTAAAATAGCCAATCCTAGAATATCTGTGAAAGGAAAAAACCTGATGACAGCAATTGCTTCAGCAGTGAAGAATTGATGATTGGGAGACAGGAGTAGGAAGGAGACTTGCAATTCAATAGGCCTTTTGAATTTTATACTAAGGGCATATTGAAAACAAATAAATGTGTATATTCTCCTAACCAGTAATTCCATTTTTAAGTTACGTCCCAGAGAAATGTACATTTACAGTGAGGTTGAGGTAGGTGTATTGATGTTCATTGTCACATTGTTTATAAAAGAGTAAATAAATGGAAACAACATAAATATTCCTCAGTAGGAGAATGAGTAAATAAGTTTGGATACATCAGTATTATGGAATGCTATATAGCTGTTAAAAATAAACCTCTAGCCCTGGCCGGTTTGGCTCAGCGGTTAGAGCGTCAGCCTGTGGTCCCGAGAGACCCGGGTTTGGTTCCCACTAAGGGCACGTATCTCAGTTGTAGTTTGTCCCCAGCCCTGTTTGGGTTGTGCGGGTGGCAGCTACTCGATGTGTCCCTTTCACGTCGATGTTTCTCTCTCTCTCCCTCTCACTCTATCTGAGCAAAATATCAAAAAATGTCTGCGGGTGAGGATAAAAAAAATAAAAATAAAAATAAATAAACCTCTATTGCCAGGCCGGTGTACCTCAGTGGTTGAGGATCAATCTGTGCATCAAGAGGTTGCCAGTTTGATTCCAGGTTAGGGCACATGCACGACTTTGGGATTTAATCCCCAGCAGGGGGCATGCAGGAGACAGTCAATCAATGTTGATGTTTCTCTTATCAATGTTTCTATCTCTCTTTACCTCTCCCTTTCTTTCTGGCCAGTTTGGCTCAGTGGTTAGAGCGTTGGCCTACAGACCAGAGAGTCCTGGGTTTAGTTCAAACTAAGGGCACGTACCTCGGTTGCAGTTTGTCCCCGGCCCTGGTCTGGGTCGTGTGGGTGGCAGCTGCTCAGTGTGTCTCTCTCACATCGATGCTCCCCCCCCACACACTCTATCTGAAGATAAATGCAAAAATGTCCTCAGGTGGGGATAAAAAAAAAAACTAGCCATAGGAAAAGAGCTAAAAGAAAAAACCCTAAACTGACAACAGTAGTTACTTTGGGGAGACTAAGTTGGAATGT